AACATCAGTTTCACTATCTAAATCATCCGGATCTGTGTCATGAAACAAAGTTCCGAATTTTCTATTTTGCTTAATTGATGTTGCATGAATAAAAAAAACACTATGACGAATACCTGCAATAACAGGAAGATTACCGTGGACTAAAATGTTAGACCTAAAAGCAATAGCCTGACCCTGTCTTGCATACATTATTAACCTTAACTCAGGAAACACCAATTGCCCACCTTCAAATGTTCCAAGTGGGCAGACCACACAAAGTGAATCACAGTGATCTTTTAGGTCTCGGTGGAACTGGGAGATAATGTTGAAATTAACCACTACAGTGGGAAAACCACCGAACGATTTCGGAACATTTGGACCGAGATCAAGTTTTTTCATCTTTATATACAAGGCTGGATATGTGTCTCTAATATAGCTATTAACGGCATCTGATAATGGTTGAAGGCCTTGTATTAATCCTTGAACACATTTTAAATGATCTTGGTTGTGGGATGAGGCGGTATTTGCAGTTGTGTAGGGTTCATTATTATTGTCTGTGAAGGTACCAAAGTGCTCCACTAACTCTTTTTTAAATTCTTTTGACTGGTGCAATAGACTATCAAGCATGTGAACATAGTATTGTTTTACTGCTATCTTTGCACTTTTTGTAACCCCGGAACTTGGAAAGGAGAATAGATTCACCATTGTTTCTCCAAGAGCATTCTTAAAAGTTTGTGGGTCGAATATGTGATGATACCCTTTTATATTAATATTTTCCTCTGCCATTTTATTAGTTAATACACTAGCAATAACCTGCTTATCTTTTAAATTTCGACTAAAAGCCTCGGATGTTATTGTTTGCTCTAACGAAACTTCTTCTGCCTTTATGTATTGCTGATATGCATATTTCACCTTGGACTAGAGGTACTGGCAGTGATTACGAATCTGCTTGTCGATGGTGGAACTTGTTGCAAAAAAAGCCCATAACCCAAATTACTTCCATGGTGAATTTGAATTTTTATTTGTAGCTTCACCATGATTGAAAACTTCTGATTCCAGTAAATGTATAAATTCAGCAGGTATTTGAAAAGTAGATAAAATCGGGTGGATTACTTGAGTGGCCTGTGGTTGTAGTGGTTTTTCTAGATCAATGCCGGAATTGTAAAATTCATTCCAAACATTTTCAAGATCTAAATTGGAAAGTGCATTATATTTAAAAGAAAAGCTGTTTTGCTTTACGGTATCCGATGGGAGCAACCCTCTGCTCAATAATGTCTTAACCACTTGTCGTTGCCGTCTTCTTTCCATAAATTTTTCGAAAAAGGTGATTTTTGGGTCTATTAAAAAAGTGGGCTGAGAATCGTTTATTGACTTAAGATCACTAGCAACAAAATTTTTAGACTCCCAATAAGATCGAATATATTCTTGAGTTTGAGTTTTAGTGAATAAACGGGTTTCACTCTGGGTCTTGTGCTAGAGAATATATATTCAAAAAATTGTTAGATTGATATACAAATTTTTTTTTATTGCAAATAGTAATATAATTTTCTCGGTAGATATATTCGAATCACTTTATGTGGTGTGGTTCGGGGGGTTTAAAACCCATGAAGTCTGCGTCACCTTCCTCCTCACACACGCCCCACATCAAGGATGACGATCATGCCCAAGAAAAAAATGTAACTCTGAATAGGGAGGGAATACTCGGATCCTAGGCCTGCCTCGAAAGGCGAAAAGTACCCCTAAGAAGACTATACTATAAATAATAGGG